GCTCACGCCCAAGGGTTCGGATCCCACATACAGACCGGTTCCCGCTCACTGGCTGAGCGAGGCGCGGGAACAACACCGAGGGTTGCGATCCCGTTGCCGGTCCCCGGTCCGGTACGGGGGCAACACTGAGGGTTGCGATCCGTTGCCGGACACGGAAAAAAGACAAAAGACAAAAAAAAAAAAAAAAATACTAGATGGGCTGCCACTGAGGCTGTGAGTTTCTCATTGCTGGAGGGATTACAGCAGGCACATTATTCTCTCTTCCCAAGGACAACTAAGATGAGATGTGATGAGACCAGAATGGGCAGGCTGACCGAGTGGTCCTCCACGTGTGGTCCCTGCGCCAGCGCCAGTTCGCACATAGACAGCTGCCCGTGGGTGATGAGATGAGGAACTCGCACCAGAATGTAAACCAACTACATCACTAATCACTCTGTTTAGTTCAGCTGACACTTTTTTTTTTTTTTAAAGCAAGACTCAGTGGAGGAAGCAGTGAGTTGAGCTACATTTTGGTGCAAGCCCCCCATCTTGTTACGGATAACAGCGTGTGGTCAGCAACTCTGAGGGGCGGTGCACTAGAAGTTCTAGAAATGAGAAAATGTTGAGATTCCAAATGTAAAAAGTAAAAGTTAATTTTCAATGTCCCTCTTTGTTGAAAGCACCTATTTTTCCTAATTACTTGCTTTTTTTGACATCTGACCTATTTACTTTTACTTTTTACTACTGAGAGTTCAAATGTCAAAGAAAAGCAATTAGGAAAAATAGGTGCTTTCAACATAGAGGGATGGCAACAAAAGAAGAAGATCGACATAATCTTTACTTCTTTTAGCACAGGGAGATGTCTCCAAAACACACATATTTGAGCAGAATATTAATAAATTTAGAAGCAAGCACTGCAGGAGGCAGAATCACCCATGAACAATGAAGAGTCAGCTTTGCTAACCTGCTGGGTTAATGGAAACTGGTCCCCTTCCACTCTCTCTGGTGCAACACATAACTGAGGCCTCTCTGCCATTCACGCCCAATGCCCCTGCTTTGATCGAGCAAAGACAGCCTGGGCTAGCCAAAGCCACATGTGTTGTCTGTAGACACAGCTCCATAGTCCTGCCCTCTATCCTGCAGGCTCGTCCACCCTATAGGACTTCCTTGGGTCCTTGTGTGAGCACCAGAGACCTGGGCTCCCCATGAGAAACCTTCTTATTAGGTGGCTCAGATCTAAAAGGTTTTAGTCCCTTTCATTTCTCCTCAGTTTCCTGATGGGGCAACACATACCTTCAGGCTGGTGTGAAGATTAAATGCTATAGTGAAAGTCAAGTTCCTCGTATAGTGGTGTATACAGAAATGCCCAGGGTTGCCTGCTTGTTTCCTTCCCTGTCTGACTCCCTCGGGGCAGGCAAGGCTCACAGATGAAGAGGTCAGGGTCCTGAGAGGCTTGGGCTCGAGCCTGGCTGGCATGGGCACTGTGTTTGGGTGACTCCCAGGGACTGTCCAGTGTTCTATGCTTCATCATCATCTATGCTCCTTACCTGGCCAGACACTTCTCCTCCGCAGCACAGCGCAGGGAGTACAGATGGGCTCGCTGCACATAAGTGGACGCTTGCACATAGTTGGGGTCCGGGACCAAGTCAGGGAGACCTGGAGTGGACAGTGGGAGAGAGGGAGAAGGGAGGAAGAGCGTGGCACTGAGAAGGTCAGGCTGGTCACTGCTAATGCCCAGAGACCACCCGCCCCAAGCACCCTTTGCCATTCTCCTCGGGCATTGGGTCCTGGGTTCAGGTGTGGGATCAGGGAAGTTAGGCAGCAGGAGCTCACCTCTGGAGCTCAGTGGTGTGGGAGCCCCTGAGACCTCCTGGAAGAGCTGGGACATGAGCAAGACCTGGGAGATGGGGTGGAATTTACAAATCCAGGGAGGGGGAAAGGGTTTCCTGGCAGAAGGAATGGCAAAGGCCTGGAGGCAGGACTGAGTGAACCAAGCCATTTCCTCATAGAGACACTCCCTCCATGTCCTTATTTTCTAGGCTTCTGGACAGCAGCCCCTAGACGCCCTCTTCTCCTCTCACCCCTGCAGCCAGCGTTCTTCGTGAACCACCAAGACAGCCTTGGGCTCCTGGCCCAGAGTGGGTCTTGGAAGGCTCATGGGCAGAGCCAGGTGAATGTTGGTTGGCAGGAGTAGGGATGGGCAGGAAGGGATGGGCTAGAAGGAAAACACTTCCCCAGAGCAGGCTGCTGACTAGGCAGGATTCTTAGCCTGGGCACCCAGCCCGCCTTTCTCAGTACTCCTTTCTTCCTGGCATGGCCTGTCCTCCCCATCACCTGCCACGACTTCCTACCACTGCCCCCAGACCTGACCATAGCCTCCCCTGTCTGCAACCTCTGGCCTCCAACTTGAGGGAGGGCTTGGCTCCCTCCCTTGCAGTGCCCAGGGTCAAGGCCTCCAGCCCTTGGGATCACTTGTTCCCCAGGATATGCCAGAGCAGGATATGCCTGTCCCCTCCTACTGTCCCCTCTTCTTCCTCCCCGGGCATGCATTAGTCCGTGTAAGAGTTATAGGAATAAGCAGAAACCAAACTGAGGTGTCTAGACCCCATCCTGCATTGGAATAAAGAAGGACTGATCTTCATGTTGGGAGTGAAGGTACGTGGGGTGGGGTGGGAGGTGGACAGGGGGTACTCCAGACACCTGGGCTCTATCTTAGCTCAGCTGCTGACTTACAGAGGAGTGAGCCTGGGGCCTCTGAGCCCCCTCTCCCCTCAGGCCTCAGGGATTCTATCAGGTAAATGAGGAAATGAGGATGTAAGTTCCTGTAGCATCTTCAAGCTTCTCTGCTCTTGGGGGGAAGGGTAAGATCAGGCAAGGTAGGGGGACTTACCTTGTGGAGTCAGGTGGAGGGGCTTCCAGCCCCCTTTCTTGCTGCCAAAACCCTCTCGTCAGCTTTTAGGTCCAGAAGATGAGGCAGAGAAGGGGAAGTCTGGCTTCTAAGCCTTTGACAGAGGTGTCTGCCTGCACACCAAACCCCCCCTACCAAAAAATAGCCTGGGCTCCAAGACCCTAGACCTGCTCTCCCTGGAGCCTGGTCCAGACAGCCAGAGTGATCTCACCTACTCGGAATGAAGAGGAAGCTTGCAGTACAGGGGTGGGTAAGGATGAGGTGGCTCCTGGCTGATGGGGGACTTCTTGGCCAGCCTAGGCCCTATTACTTGAGCCCCCAGGAATGTTTGGTCATTTCCCAGGGGATCCTCAGCCCTTAGACCAGCTGAGAGCTGGTTCTCACCCTCTGGTCCCCAGAAGCCCCTGGAGGAGGGGTGAGGAAGAGAGCAATGGTCCCCTTTCCCATCATCAAGTGCCCTTCCCTCAGCAATATGAAGCCTCAAGGGACCCAGTATTCAGTACCAGATGGCCTGCCGCCCCCATCCCAGGCCCAGTTTCAATAAATACTACGCAGATGGCTCCACAAAGCTTTTCTGGCCCGACCCTTCCTCTCTAGGCCATTTTATGAGCTGGCTATGTAATCCAGGGAAGGTGGAAGAGCCAGCTGAGTAAGAGACCAGGGGTACTTGGGGCCAGTGAGAGCCAGTGCTGTTCCTGGCCTCTTACTGAGCCCCAACCCTGATCACAGTCTGAACCCCGACCCTGGTCACACACTGAGCCCAACCCACGTCATACACTGAGCCCTGACCCTGGTCATATGCTGAACCCCAACCATGGTCACAGTCTGAGTCCTGACTCTGATCACATACTGAACCCTGACCCTGCTGACACGCTAAACCCTGACTTTGATCACAGACCAAACTCTGACTTTGGTGACACACTGAACCCTGACCCTGATCATACACTGAGCCATGATCCTGGTCACTCACTGAGCCTGACTCTGGTGACATGCTGAAATCTGACCATGGTGACAAACTAAGCCCTGACTATGGCACTGATCCCTGACTATGACCACAGACTGAGCCCCAACCTTGATTACACACTGAGCCCTAACCCTGGTCACACACTGAGTCCTGATCCAGGTGCCTTGGGTTGAACATTCTCTCAAAACTTGATCCCCACTGTAGCTGTTAAGGGAGTGGAAAATCCTATTATGGTAACTGCAAGGTGGGGCCTTGAGGAGGTGATTAGATTCTGAGGACCACGCCTAGTGAATGGATTAAAAATGGTGGTCATGGGCCGGCCCGTGGCTCACTTGGGAGAACGTGGTGCTGACAACACCAAGTCAAGGGTTCAGATCCCCTTACCGGTCATCTATTAAAAAAAAAAAAAAGATGGTCATAGGTGTGGTTCTGAGGGCTCTAAAAGGACAGTGCAGGAGGAACTATCTCTCTCTCTGCTCTGTCATTTCTTCAATATGACACCCTGTCATCACTGTTGCCACCACCAAGACCCTTACTGGATGTGCTCCCTGGACTTTAGACCTCCCAGCCTGAAACTCTGCAAGCAAATAAATTTCATTTTTTTATAAATCTCCCAGTTTCAGGTATTTTGTTATAAGCAACAGAAACAGACTAATACACCTGGTGACACACTGAACCCTGACCTTGGTCACACACTGAACCCCAACTGTGAACACAGACTGAGCCCAGGCCCTGGTTACACACTGAGACCCGACCCTGGTTACACTCTGAATCCCGACCCTGGTAACACACTGAGCCACAACCCTGGTCAGCCCCAACCCTGGTGACACACTGAACCCTGACCTTGGTCATACCCTGAGCCCTGACCCTGGTGACATACTGAGTCCTGATCCTGGTGACACATTGAGCCCTGACTATGATCACAGACTGAGCCCCGACCTTGGCCACACACTGAACCCCAACTGTGAACACAGACTGAGCCCAGGCCCTGGTTACACACTGAGCCCCGACCCTGGTTACACTCTGAATCCCGACCCTGGTAACACACTGAGCCACAACCCTGGTCATATGCTGAGACGTGATCCTGGTCACACACTGAGCTTGACCCTGGTCACAGACTGAGGCCTGACAGCTACCAACAACTAGTCTCATTGCTATTTGTCCTCAGATGATGGGCTAAAGGTCTATACTTAAAAAACCGTAAAAAGGATTGCGTTGACATCATCAATCCCTTTTGATTTTAGTGAGTGGGGTAGAGTTGTTTGTAAGTTATAAAGTATTATATACGTGAAGATCCAGGAGAGACACTAAGGACAGACAGCTTGGGGCTGCTTGTCAGAATCTGAGCCCTGACCCTGGCCATAGATGATCATCTCTTCCTCTTATTGTTGAGGAATTTCATGCTCGGGCCTCTTGCTCCAGGAAGTCTTCCCCGATTGGCAGTGACATCTCAGGCTGCACACACTTCTCCTATCTCACTACCCAATCTGTATTGCTCTATAATTAGATTTTATCATATTCACCTGTCTGCTCCCCAAGGTCCCAGCCTGACTCACCCCTCTGCAGGCAACCCACGGTGCTCAGGAACGTTTGCTTTGGGGATGACCGACTGGCCCAAGTCCCCTCGGTCTCTGTCAGGCATGCTTCTTTAGTAATTAGTGGCTCAGGGCTGGCCCGTGGCTCACTTGGGAGAGCGTGGTGCTGACAACACCAAGTCAAGGGTTAAGATCCCCTTACTGGTCATCTTTAAAAAAAAAACAAAACTAGTGGCTCAGTACCTGACTTCCAAGCATCCACAAGCATACTCCACACTCTGTCCTCCCAAGACACTAGGGCACACAATGCCTTTGGAGGTGCTAGAGGAAAGTGAGGCTCTGAGAGGGCAATGGATTTGTCCACAGTCACACAGCGAGTCAGGTAGCCCCAGCGGGAGATCCCAGGTCCTGACTCTCTCCCAGTACTCCTCCTGTCATTCTTTATGAATGAACTTTTTTGAGGTATAATGTATAGTCAAATGCACAATTTTAGGTGTCCAGTTTGATAAGTTCTGACAAATGGATACAGCTATGTAACCACCACCACAATCAAGCTATGGATTGTTTCCATCACCCTTCTGCCCCTTTCTAGTACATTCCTTTCCCCCTGCACTGCCCCAGGCAACCACTGATCTGCTTTTTAATCACTATACATTAGTTATGCCTCTTCTAGAACTTAAATAGCATCACTCTTACCATTATTTTACAATTTTCTTTGTTCTACGTCTCTGAGCATCACCCGGGCCTCTGTGCTCCATCCCTGTCATGCCCACATTGCCCTGGGAGGCAGCAGCTCAGGAAGCTGCTGGGGAGTTCAGGCAGGGTCCCCCACCTCACCCTCAGGATCCCCTGCCCAAGGTCCCAGGNACCCCAACTGTGAACACAGACTGAGCCCAGGCCCTGGTTACACACTGAGACCCGACCCTGGTTACACTCTGAATCCCGACCCTGGTAACACACTGAGCCACAACCCTGGTCATATGCTGAGACGTGATCCTGGTCACACACTGAGCTTGACCCTGGTCACAGACTGAGGCCTGACAGCTACCAACAACTAGTCTCATTGCTATTTGTCCTCAGATGATGGGCTAAAGGTCTATACTTAAAAAACCGTAAAAAGGATTGCGTTGACATCATCAATCCCTTTTGATTTTAGTGAGTGGGGTAGAGTTGTTTGTAAGTTATAAAGTATTATATACGTGAAGATCCAGGAGAGACACTAAGGACAGACAGCTTGGGGCTGCTTGTC